CAGGGTCCCATGTTAGCAGAGATAAGGACATAGTGTCAGCAGGGTCCCATGTTAGCAGAGATAAGGACATAGTGTCGGCAGGGTCCCATGTTAGCAGAGATAAGGACATAGTGTCGGCAGGGTCCCATGTTAGCAGAGGTAAGGACATAGTGTCGGCAGGGTCCCATGTTAGCAGAGGTAAGGACATAGTGTCAGCAGGGTCCCATGTTAGCAGATATAAGGACATAGTGTTGGCAGGGTCCCATGTTAGCAGAGATAAGGACATAGTGTCAGCAGGGTCCCATGTTAGCAGAGATAAGGACATAGTGTCAGCAGGGTCCCATGTTAGCAGAGATAAGGACATAGTGTCAGCAGGGTCCCACTGAGTAAACCCCGACAGCTGCGGGAGGATCTGTGTTGATGGCTGCGGGACACACGACCCCGTCTCTCATGTTCATGTACGACAGTCCTAATTAGTCTGTCAGTCACCGGAGAGGGGGTGTGGCGACACAATTGTTTTTTTTATGCGTCGGGTTTTTCTACTGTAGGAAAGCAGAGAGGATTTCAGATGACTGGCTGCTCTTTTCCTGGCCAGAATGATGGCAAGTGACTTCTGCCGCTATGCGGTGTGAGGTAAACTGGTCATTTCAATTTTAATTTTTTGGGTTTACAAACACTTTAAAAGTAATTCAAGCTATAGATTGATCAGGGTTTGCAAAAAAAAAAAAAAAAAAAATCACCTAAAGGACTCTGAGACTGTGAGGAACAAAATTCTCTAGTCTCACATAACCAAGATTGAACGGTTTGACCTCAATTCTAAACATTATGTTAGGTGGAAACCAAGCACTGCTCATCGCCTGCCCAATACCATCCCAACAGTGAAGCATGGTGGTGGAGGCATCAAGCTGTGGGGGTGTTCTTCAGCAGCAAGGACTGGGAGACTGGTCAGTGTTGAGGGAAAGCTGAATGGAGCAAAGCACAAATATACCCTTAACCTGTTCCACACAGCTCAGGACCCCAGACTGGGCAGAAGGCTCACCTTCCAACATGACAGTGATCCTAAGCGCACAGCCAAGACAACACAGGAGTGGCTTAGGGACAACTCTGTGAATGTCCCAGAGTAGCCCAGCCAGAGTCCTGACTTGAAACCTACTGAACATTTCTGGAGAGACCTGAAAATGGCTGTCCACCGACCGTCCCCATCCAACCTGACAGAGCTTGAGAGGATTTGCAAAAGAAAAATGGCAGAAAATCCCCCTAATCCAGGTGTGCAAAGCTTGTCACATCATACCCAAAAAGACTCGAGGCTGTAATGGCTGCCAAAGGTGCTTCAACAAAATACTGAGTAAAGGGTCTGAATACAGGCAGTCCCCGGGTTACGTACAAGATAGGGACTGTAGGTTTGTTCATAAGTCGAATTTGTTCATAAGTTGAATCAGGCACTTTTATAAGCACTAACTACTAACCAAACGACAGGATATTAGATTACGTTTTTGTAATAAGGTTACAGAAAGCAGTAAAACCTCAAGAGGCTCTAAACTGGTGTTTTGCATAAGAACTGCAGCTTGACACATGTTTGCCTTAACATATTTAACTTTTATGTTTTACAAGAAGTGACTGGTCAGTGTGAGGGAATTTTACATGCTCCATTATTCTACTCTTATCTTTTAAAATTGTTGAAATTGTTGACGGAGCATAACCATATGCTTTGCAAATGGATGATGATTTTTCACCACTCTCTGATCTCTTTATTATTTCTACTTTATCTTCCAAGGAGATTGTTTTTCTTTTCTTTGCTGTGCCAGCACTTGCATCAGCTTTTTGCTTTGGAGGCATTATTGCAGGGTAAAAATACACTGTACTGTAATGTACTGTATGAGAGAACTCTGCTCTCCTTTACACAGCACACGCTGCCCCCTCACCCCCCCCTGCACAGACGGAGGATCACTTCAGTGAGCAGCCTGACAGCCTCTCCTTTCCTCTCCCCGGAGGTGCAGACAGACAGTCTTAAATCACTTTGGAGATAGTGGGCAGACACTGCTAGCCCCACAAGTAACGAGCAATGGATGTCTCTGTCTCTTATGTCTCTCTGATGTCTCTTATCAGCTAGTCTCTTATCAGCTTGCTGCACAAGAATGCTGACAGCTTGACTTCCGGTCCCGAGGGAAGTGTACGTAAGTATGAGTATTACGTAAGCCGAATGTACTTAACTCGGGGACTGCCTGTACTTAAGTACATGTCATATTTCAGGTTTTTTTTCTTTTTATTAAATTCACAGACATTTCTAAAATTCTGTTTTCACTTTGTTATTATGGGGTACTGAGTGTAGATTAAGGAGGAAAAAATGAATTGAAACAATTGTAGTATCAGACTGCAACATAAAATTAAAAAAAGGGAATGGGGGGTCTGAATACTTTATGAAATCATTATACATAAGATCCATTACATCCATTTAATGCACTGAATTTATAAAGCTTGCCTGAATGTCAGAAAAAAGGAGTCAGAGAGATGAAATTACGCTCTGCGGAGCTCAGCGAGGAGAGTTTTGAGAGCTGACTGGAGAGAAGAGACATACCCCCTCCACACAGCTCACAGAAACAAGATAGAGAATAAACAGGTGGCGCACACGCCTAGTGCGTTATCCAGGTATATTGAAAGGGATGAAAGGTAAAAACATACTCACAGACGAAGCATGTACCTAAAAAGCATTTGCATAATGACGATGGCCTCAAAGGCAAGCAAGGTGTTCCAACTGTCAGTGTGGTCACATGACTGACGCGTTTCGGGGACAAGTCCCTTTCCTGATGATGATGATGGGAGCCTTGCTGGTGATGCCTGAGTGGGATGGTGTGGGAGTGTGCTTTATACCTATGTGTCAGGAATGGACTTGCCAATAGTGGTGGGACTCACCTGCCTTGTGGGCTGCAGTACCAGGGCTGGTCAGTGGGTGCTCTCAACAACCAGAGGTTCACTTCGGCAATTAGCCATCACCTGGGGCTGATTGCAGGTGGTGTATTTAAGGGATGGCCAGACCTGTAGTCTGTGCCTTGGTGTGTGTTTTTCCATGGGCCCCTGTACCTTGTAACCTGCATTCCTGTTTCTGCCTGACTTGTTGCCGACCCTGCCTGATCCTGACCTCTGCTGAACTTCTCCTGTTTGATCCCTGGCTTGTGACCCTGACCATTCTCTGCCTGACCCCCTGTACCTACCTGTCCGTTAGTTGCTGTACCCGGCTCGTGACCTGACTACTCTCCGCCTGCTCCTCCTGTACCTACCTGCCCGATAGTTATCGACCCGGCCTGCCTGACTACGTTGTGCTCTATATGTGTATGTACCTGTGTATCTATACCAGTTTAGGTTTGTTTCACCTTGTTGTATGTATTTGTGTTAGCTTGGGGTTTGGTGCACTGTGTTTATATTTGTATTGTTAGTCTTAATAAATTGTCTTATTTATACCATATCTGAAGCCTGCGTTTCCCTGTCAGTCCACACACTTCTGGTCACACCCGCATCTCTGACACTATGGGGAAATGGCTGAGGCTGTCAATCTGCTGGAGCTCCCTCCCGTCACCATTTTCCTCTTGGTGTCAAGAAAATTTGTCGAAGTGACTCTGATGAACCTGGCTGATAGCAGAGGAATGAAGCAGCAGACAAAAATGACACTTAGAGTCTGGATAGTGTGTACTTGTCTGGATTGAGACAAGTACACACTATAGAGGGATATGCTTTGTTCATATTTCATCTCTGAAATTTGCAACCACTTTAATGCTTTCATCAAGACAACAGAACGCAGGAATAACAGATCTGTAAATAGATTGCTTAGCTGAATTACAGAAGATAACCCTAATAGTACTGGAGGTCTAGACAAGATTATCTTCCCTAAGAAGATTTCAGGTCCACAGATCCAATACAATGCAGAATAGTTCCTATATATAACCAGCACACTGCAGAACAATGTGAGACTGTGAAGAATAACAGGACAAACACTAGAACAATGGCAGCTGGTGATTTTCCCCACACTCCCCCAGCTGGTATTTTATGGTTTTCTAAATGGATAGGATTGGCCGGTAAAGATATATCAGTGTACAGATCCATCATATATCAGTGTGTGACTACGCACAATGTCGGGTTCCTGCGTTCTGCTCCCATAGGCCTGCTTGTGTCTGGTATGAGCTCATTCTCGTATGAACAACGCCCAGTACAAGTCCAGGAGAGCAGACAACAAGCTTCAGCTATAACTCCCATCCCACCTGTGAAAACTCCCTCTGTGCCTATTAATAACTAAGACTCCCTTCACAGTCACGTGTAGGACTTCACCTCGCCTCTAATCCTCTCCATTCTGCCCAGAACACTACAACTGATTATTAGTAATAATATATTCGTTACTGGTAACAATTACAATAAACAGCATCTCAAAATTAGACACATTTCCTTTAGATTTACCAAAACCATATAATATTTTTATACAGGATTTATATAGCGCCAACAGTTTGCTCAGCGCTGTACAATATAGTGGGAGACAATACAGCAACAATACAGTTCAATACAAGAGGGATAGGAGGGCCCTGATCCTTGGAGCTTACAATCTAGAAGGGAGGGGCTAGTGGTACAATAGGTAAAACTTTGGGGGATGGAGTGGTTGGAAAAGTAGAGGATTCCGGTATTAGCAGAGGGCGGGATAGGCTTCCCTGAAGAGATAAGTTTTCAATGATCACCTAAAGGTAAGCAGAGTAGGCGATAGTCAGATAGATTGGGGTAGGGGGAGTTCCAGCGGATGGATGAAGCCCTGGAGAAGTCTTGGAGACAGGCATGGGAGGAGGAGATAAGGGAGCTAGAGAGTAGGAGGAGCGGAGAGGACGGATTGGGTGATATTTAGAGATAAGATCAGATATGTAAATTGGGCAATGTTGTGGATGGCTTTATATGTCATTGTTAGAGTTTTAAATTTTATCCGTTGGGCAACTGGGGAGCCAGTGGAGAAGGGATTGGCTGAGGGGGGTGGAGGACACTGAGTGGAGGCCAGCGGAGGGATTGGCAGAGAGGGGTGGAGGACACTGAGTGGAGGCCAGTGGAGGGATTGGCAGAGAGGGGTGGAGGACACTGAGTGGAGGCCAGTGGAGGGATCGGCAGAGAGGGGTGGAGGACATTGCGTGGAGGCCAGTGGAGGGATTGGCAGAGAGGGGTGGAGGACATTGAGTGGAGGCCAGTGGAGGGATTGGCAGAGAGGGGTGGAGGACACTGAGTGGAGGCCAGTGGAGGGATTAGCAGAGAGGGGTGGAGGACACTGAGTGGAGGTCAGTGGAGGGATTGGCAGAGAGAGGGCAGTGGAGGGAGGGACACTGAGTGGAGGCCAGTGGAGGGATTGGCAGAGAGGGGTGGAGGACACTGAGTGGAGGCCATTGGCAGAGAGGGGTGGAGGACACTGAGTGGAGGCATTGGCAGAGAGGGGTGGAGGACACTGAGTGGAAGCCAGTGGAGGGATTGGCAGAGAGGGGTGGCAGATACCGAACGGTTAGTAAGATGGATGAGTCTGGCAGCAGCATTCATGATAGACTGAAGAGGGGATAGCCTGCGATGAGGTCGGCCAATGAGGAGGGAGTTCCAATAGTCAAGGCGGGATATAACAAGGGAGGGAATAAGTTGCTTAGCAGTTTCTGGGGTTAGGAACGGGCGTATCTTAAAGATGTTGCGGAGGTGAAGTCTACATGATTTGGACAGTGATTGGATTTGGGGGTGAAAGGGCAGATGGGAGTCTAGGACTACACCTAGTACCCTGGCATGAGGGGAGGGACTGATGGTTGTGTTAACGATATTTATGGTGAAGTCAGTGGAGGGGGCACGGGCGCGGGCGCGGGGGGGGGGGGGGCAGGGGGAATATAAGGTCAACTCACTGCACACCTAATTTGTATGCAGTCAGGCGGGCCCTTGCACTATATAGTTTAAAAATCTAAAGGAAATTGAACAAGAAAATTGCACAATGTAGAAATGTCACTTGTGCCGACTCTGGAAATGAAATTGTTACAATCCAAATGTTTTACTGGTTTAACCACTTCCTGTCCGGACACTTTCACCCCTTCCTGCCCAGGCCAATTTTCAGCTTTCAGCGCTATCACACTTTGAATGACAATTGCGCGGTCATGCAACACTGCACCCATATGAATTTTTTAGCATCTTTGTGAGACAGGTAAAGCTTTATTTTGGTGGTATTTATTCACCACTGGCAATTTTTTGCTATAAAAATAAAGTAGTCCAAACATTTTGAAAAGAAAAGTGTATTTATTCACCCCTGGGATGTTTATTTTTTTTTGCTATGTAAATGAAAAAGTCCAAAAAGTTTGAAAAAAAGTGGTTTTCTTATAAAATTATGCAAATAAATAATATTTCATCATAAATCTTAGCCAAAATGTATTCAGTTATCTTTTTAGTAAAAAAAAAAAAAAAAAAAATAACCCAAATTAGTTTATAACCAAAAATTATAATTTTTAAACTTTTTTTTTTACATTTTTTTTTCCAATCAGTGATCACATGATCGGGACCTCGCACCTCGTACGACGATCGGTGTTCCACTTTGTCCGCAGGACACAGCGGGCACCGGATGCGGTGCTGCGCTCTCCCAGGGAGCGCAAACAAGGAAGGGGCAGGGATGCCGTTTATAAATGGCCACCCGACCCTGCACTGCCACCGTCCGGCCATTTATACACATGGGCCGGACAGGAGGTGGTTAAGAACCGGTTCATACCAATTTCTGTGTTCTGGATGTGTTTCTGCATGCATGTTTTTGATGTGCTCCGGTACATTTATGCATTTTTCATGCGTTCCGCTGCATTTTGTCCCGGTTCACATATATGCGGCTGTGTGGGCCGCGGTTTACGCAGGAATGGATTCTCATGCCTCGTAGGGAAGAAGTCCCTACAATTCTTCCGACGACACAGCCAGCACGGGGACCTCGGTTCCCAGTACAGTTGCAGTTTCCAGTGCGGGCGGCGTGCTATTAGAACGAATGGCACCCGCCCGCAGGTCCGCATTTCTCTGTGCAGCTGCACGGATTTTCATGCGGATCCGCAGCGGCACCACCCTCACAGATGTGAACCTAGCCTCAATGTCATGCAACACTGTACCCATATGAATTTTTTTAGCATTTTTTTGAGACAGATAAAACTTTATTTTGGTGGTATTTATTCACCACGGGGATTTTATTTTTTTTTTGCTATATAAATGAAAAAGACCAAAAATTTTGAAAAAAAAAAGTGTTTTTCTTATAAAATTTTGCAAATAAATATCCCTTGTGCTTATTTTGTATTTTGTTTTTGGGCTTTAACTACTTGCCTACCGGGCACTTTCACACCCTCCTGCCCAGGCCAGCTTTCAGCAGTCTCACACTTTGAATGACAATTGAGCGGTCATGCAACACTGTATCCATATGAAATTTTTATCATTTTTTCACACAAATAGAGCTTTCTTTTGGTGGTATTTAATCAGCACTGGAGTTTTGTTTTTTGCACTATACAAACAAAAAAAAGCAAAAAATGTGAAAGAAAAAAAAACATTTTTGTTTCTATTATAAAATTTAGCAAACAGGTAAATTTTCTCCTTCACCGATGTGCGTTGATGAGGCTGCACTGATAGGCTGCACTGACGGGCACTGATGAGGCAGCACTGGTATACAACTTCAGCTGAGGATTATTATTATTATTATTATATACAGGATTTATATAGCGCCAACAGTTTGCTCAGCGCTTTACAATATAAAGGGAGACAGGAATGTGAATGCTTTATTCCATACTGCACTCAGTGGAAACTGCCTATGTTCGGGGCGGGGCGACTCTAAAGGGTCATACAGACATTGCGACACAAAAGGATGGATCAGCTAATAGCTGCATCCAAGTGCTGAAGGATGGGAAGGCTTAAAACCCCAAACCAAACATTTATTATATTGCAGATCACCAATTCTTAGATATGATGGCTGTATTAGTTTTCTTTTTTAGGCTTTATTTCCTTTACTTTCCCCTGGTGATCACCTGGTAAGTCTGTTCTTTTTCAAAAGAACAACCTGTCCTGCAAATGTAGCAATTAGAAGGTTGAGACAAATTAACCCCTGACAGGGGTGCGGATTTTATATATATATATATCTTATCCCAAAAGTAAAAAAAAAAAAACTGTTTGCCGTAACGGATTATAAAAAAATGTTAGGCGGAGTTTGTCTTTCATGTTTTATTGTATGTAAATCTGCTAGTACATCTAACACTCCCCTCCCCCCAGACTGACAATGCTTCTGCCCAAAGGTGTTCCTGCATCCAGAGTGGGGGCGCTCTAATACAGGAGGTGTGTTACTGGCCAGATTACCAGGTGAAAACGGGGACAAAAAAAGAACACTAATGCAGCCACCACATCTAATAACTGATAGGCTGCAATATATTGCCAGCTTGGGTTGGGCTGGAACGTACAGTATATGTAAACCTTCACCTGGTAAAACAACCATTCAGTTTAAAATAGAAATAAAAGGGGAAATATTTGTGTACAGATATAGAATGATAAATACCTTCCCTCACCCTTTTATAGGTGATCACATACCCTCTGTGCTCAGTTGCATAAGAGCTGGGGGAGGAGAAACAGCAGCCCAATGATCTTGGTGTTTTTGCACTGAAGTCAAGGGGGGGGGGGGAGCATTTCTACACTAAAGTCAACGGGGGGGGGGCATTTCTGCACTAAAGTCAATGGGGGAGGGCCTTTCTGCACTAAAGTCAATGGGAGAGGGCCTTTCTGCACTAAAGTCAATGGGAGAGGGCATTTCTGCACTAAAGTCAATGGGGGGGGGCATTTCTGCACTAAAGTCAATGGGGGGGGCATTTCTGCACTAAAGTCAATGGGGGGGGCATTTCTGCACTAAAGTCAACGGGGGGGGGCATTTCTGCACTAAAGTCAATGGGGGGGCATTTCTACACTAAAGTCAATGAGGGGGGGGGGGCATTTCTGCACTAAAGTCAATGGGGGGGGGCATTTCTGCACTAAAGTCAATGGGGGGGGGCATTTCTGCACTAAAGTCAATGGGGGGGGGCATTTCTGCACTAAAGTCAATGGGGGGGGGCATTTCTGCACTAAAGTCAATGGGGGGGGGCATTTCTGCACTAAAGTCAACGGGGGGGGGCATTTCTGCACTAAAGTCAACGGGGGGGCCTTTCTGCCTTTCTGCACAAAAGTCAAAGTCACTAAACGGGGGGGCCTTTCTGCACTAAAGGGGGGGGGCCTTTCTGCACTAAAGTCAACGGGGGGGCCTTTCTGCACTAAAGTCAACGGGGGGCCTTTCTGCACTAAAGTCAACGGGGGGGGCCTTTCTGCACTAAAGTCAACGGGGGGGCCTTTCTGCACTAAAGTCACGGGGGGGCCTTTCTGCACTAAAGTCAACGGGGGGGCCTTTCTGCACTAAAGTCAACGGGGGGGGCCTTTCTGCACTAAAGTCAACGGGGGGGCCTTTCTGCACTAAAGTCAACGGGGGGGCCTTTCTGCACTAAAGTCAACGGGGGGGCCTTTCTGCACTAAAGTCAACGGGGGGGCCTTTCTGCACTAAAGTCAACGGGGGGGCCTTTCTGCACTAAAGTCAACGGGGGGGGGCGTTTCTGCACTGAAGTCAAGGGGGGTCAAGGGTCTCATACATCAGCACACTGCAACTGAGTAATATGCTACTGGGGGGGGGGGGGTGATTTTGCTCTTTTCAGAGAAGCAGACATCAGATGAGAACTTGAATAGTTAAAGGAATACACCACATCTCCCCAATCTGTGCCAGACGAGTCACGTAACTCAGCCAGTCACCGCCTGACTCCTGGAATAGCCTCAGCTGTGGCAGAGAACTGGCCGCACACCCTGCCATGCTGTCCCGACTCGTCTGCAGAAACTGATATTCACTGAACTAGAATGACGATTTTCCACGACTGTTCATTTCCACAATGAAGGACAATGAGAGCTGAAAACAACAATTGTTATGGAAACTCTGACGTCTGTAATAACTCGGTGAACTGGAATATAAACACTCAATGCACCAAGTTACAACTCGCGTTATGTGCCATAATAAGTGGGATTTTCAGTTCTCATTGTCAAAAATAACAGAAACTAAGGAAAAATAATCGTTATGGTGTCGTGAAATCGTCACTTTCTTTTGGATTACGGGAAAGAAACACTTTACACACAAATTATGAAATAAATGAAGGCGAGAACTGTACATGTCCGGACAATTGGTCTCATTTCTCTCCTAGTCCTTACCCGCTTGCGGACTGACCGCAGTATATTTACAGAGGGCAGAGGCTGCAGCTGGGGTGGATCGAGTGCATGTACATGATCCAGCTCTTCCAGGTATAGGCACACAGATATGCACCCTCCCGCCCCATCTGTGCTGTGATTTGCTACAGCAC